TTCGGTCAAGTTTGTTCCGACAACGGAGCAACACGCGGACCTCCTTACCAAGGCCCTTAGCAGGGTCAGTCTGCAGTACCACCGGCGCAAGCTGATGAATTTGCCGGAGTAGATGTAGCAGTTTTTAGCACTTGCCTTGGATTTTTTGGCAAGTGCGGCCGTTGTAAGCCGCTGTGATAGCGACGTTTTTTTGTGGTGGAAGGGTTTTTCCTTGAGGGGTTTTGCCCGGACGCCGGGTTTCCCCTCAATATGTTACCATGTTGGTATTTTCTGATGCATCCTGGGGCGTTCTTGCCCAATTGATGGTTAGTCACTTGCGTGAAGAACCAGGGAGGGTGTCCTGGTGAAGGCGGGCGCGTCCTTCCGCGCGCGAGAGATTATTCTGTGTCTACTCGAAAGAAGAACGTTTGACTCGGATGTGCCTCCTGGTCCCAAACCCCCCGTCTCTCTCCCGAACGCTTGCAACGCGACATAGCACTTCGTTCAGAGGTGTCGTCGGCCAGTGTACAGTAATCACTTTCTGTCTCCGTACTGGTGTGGTGCGATTTCGTGTCCTGGGGTTGAGGGAGCGATGCAGACACGGACACGCGCACGCACGCACACACGCAAACTCAACAGCAGCAGCAGTGAGAGCCCCTTGTCATCAAGCAAGGTGCACAGCTAGCTGTCACGCAGCGCACCACGAAAAAACAACAGCACCTGCGGACAGGGGAAGTTCGTGGGAGGACTGTTGCCCCACAGCCAATCACATGAAGCCGCTTAGATCTGAAAAATTTCACCCGCACAGAGTTTCCAGGAAACTTTCTTATCTCAAAATCTGGAAACTTTGGAGCCTCAGTCCGAAATTGGTAAAACTACACAGCAATATTTCCGCCTTCGACGGAGAAACGCTATTCACACCACAAGACAAGCTTGGCCATCAACCATTCGTCCGCCCAACCCGCTCCGTGTATCATAACGATCACCCGATACCCCGAGAACTCATCACCGCAGTACGAACGCCCGCCCGACATACCCCCCCGAAATGTATCATTACGCGCTCATGCAGAGGGAGGGTCGCACAAAAACGGCAAACATCAGCCGACATTGAAAAAATGCTTCATGCAGCCCAACGGCATCGGGTAGGGCAAGGGTTGGAGCGGAAGTTTCACACCACCAACGCATGTTGACCTGATGAGAATACAGACAAGACTTTGAGAACAGAATAAACTACTGCGCGTAGGGTCCAACAGCCGTGTACTAGGATAAAAAGTCACAGATTACGCATTGCAGGAGAGCGCGCACACATTGGTCGCCCGGGTATCGAGGTCGATGCGAATGGGCAGCAATCACACAGCGCCACACACCATACAATGCTACAATCGTCCGAATATTGCTAAAGGTTAACCGTACGCCGTACGCATTACGTCAAGTTCAATCAAACACCTCACGACACGAGCTCTAGACACACCACTGTCACTGCATGATGTATCTCAGTCGAACCAATAAACCCAACAGCAGAAGATATGAACCTGTTGTCATCACAACAGCAGAAGAAGCTGGTTTTGTCGCCTGTCCGGCACCGTCACCACCTCCCTCCTCTTCCACCGTGCCCTCGAGCCAACATCCCGAAACGATCATTCCTAGAAAAGAAGAAAAGCTGACTCAGGATCCTTTTCACGCATCGTTCATGGCCCGGACGAAAGGAACAAGGAGTTTTGAGTGTCATCCCGACACCAGTCCTGAGATTGATCTTATACCCAATCCCCTTTCCGCCGTGCCCTTCAAAGCAATGTTGATACTCGCAACGGAAGCAGGTTGATGCCGTACCCGAACCCCTTTCCGCCTTGTCCTTCAAGGCAAAATATTGGTACTTGCGACGATTTCTCCAACAATCGCAAGAAAAAAAACGAGAGGCCCACAATTCATGCCTTACACTCGAATACAGAACATACAGCCGGACCCAAATCAGGCAACGATCGCATGCAACCAGAGATATCCAACAGCACTTGCAGGGGGTTCCGCGGATTCCCCATCCACCTACGTGAGAGTGTAAATCGCCGCCGATACGGCCCATCTAATCGTGTCGCGCTTTCCTCTCCGCTATTCTCAGGCCGATCCGACCAGTTGGAAACTCTTTTTCAAAATCAACAACAAAACACGTGAGGCATATTACTTTCGGAAAAATCTCTCGACAACAACGCACGGAGGTGAATTACGTGGATAGAAATGAAAAACACACACTTGAAAACGTACTTACATCGAGACTCGGCTTCATGGGGGCCTGCTACTTCAGAATCAAGTCCACCACCCCACGCATCACGTCTTGGCATGGATAAAACCGCACCACAGTAAAAACTGTACGCAACAACACCAACCGCAACATGTTTGGGAGAAAAAGTCTCGTCTCGCGAGTGAAATATGCCGAATCGGACCACTCTTCTGTTGAGCGGGGCGACGGACTGCCGTGGGGGCAGACCAAGGCTACGATTGACTGGGCCGAAAAAATAAACAAGTACGTACAGAAAACACGAACACCGACAGAGACAAGAATGAAAAGCCAGAAATGCGTGTGTTGGACTTACATACCCAAGGAAAGCGAACGGAGAAAAAAACGCACACACACAATGACAGCAGCACCGCGCTGATTGACTCGAAGGGTCGAGTTATCCACGTTAGAGACACAACAACACGGCCCGCGACCCTTCGACCCAACAGCAGATTCAGCAGCAACGACTCCCGCATCGACGCCTGCGGCCAAAGAACGGAGAGACAGAACCGCGAGCATGAAACAAAGCTGCCGGCGGCTCACGCCAAGGACGACACATGATGCCGCCAACGGCACAAAGTAGTCGGGGGAAGGACTTGACCCAGGCCCACGACGGGTACACACCTAAAAGGACGTTGCGCGCGCGCGTACTGGGATGTGTGTGCCAAGCCATCTGCTTGGGCAAATACAAATCGGGTAACACGAAGCATCAGTCGGCCAACGCAGCAGCAGCAGCAGCAGCGGGGCACGGTCAACCCCAGCATTCAACGAGGAGAAAACATGCCACCAAGCCTCGCGTCCGACACAGTAACGGCACTGCCGCGCCAGTCGCATTTGGACAAGGGAAACACGCAAGCAGGCAATGCCGGCTGAATCCCACCAAGCTCTCGCTTCCCGCGGACATACAGGTGCTCATCTGCAGAGCCACCGCAAAGCTTGGGACTCGCAAGGAAAACGACGGCCACAAAAAGACTCGTGCCACCACCCCCAACTCCCGGCGTCTGCCGACCAATAAAAAAACTGCGTGCGCCCTTGCTTATGCACCGCAAAACCTGCAGCCACCGCTGTTTCGTAAAAATACAAACACAGCAGTGTCACGTGAACTTATGGCGCAATCAAGCAGGGGAGCCGTCGTCGCACTCCGGACACGGGTCCCAGTCCGTGCAAGTGCCCCACTTGTTGAACCCCTCGTAGACATACGGCAGCTTCGGGTTCGACGGGTGGAGGATTTCCACCAGGTCGGAGTTCGTCAGCAGCTCCGTGCCGTCGCCCAGGCCCAGCATCCGTTCTGTGCGGCGAAACACCAAAACAATGCACATACATGCGGCGGAGCAGAGGGGAGTGACTAAACAACAGGCTTTTTTGTGTTGCATGTTTTCGGCCGCCAACCGGTCAAGCCCACCCTCTGTGGCGGTGAAGAAGGGGTAGGCCTGTCCTCCATCGGCCGTTTTGCTTGTATGACGGAGAATAAGAAGGTGGAATTACTTGAAATTAGTATTGAAATAAAGTTTGTGTATCTAAATCGAAAATAAAACGGCCGGTGGAGGACAGGCCTAAGAACGGGGTGGGGAAACGCTATGTGAAAACATGCAGTTGGTTGTGAAACGCGGGATAGGTTATCGCACATTACATGAGGTCTACTTCGAACGCTCGTGCGCCATGATGAAGCGTGTCTACGCACCGTCTCGTGTTTGCCAATAACGCATACCTTCATCGATGCCGTTGAACGGGGGAGAAAGAACATGTCCCAGCAAACTACTGTAACCGCAAACGGAACAGCAAAGTCGCTCTTCAGACGTTCCGGCCCAATTAACCAACATCAACATTCAATCAATGCCATGGCACGTATAACCAGTGCAGGAACTACCGTATTGCGTAAGATACCACAACCGTTGGATCCATTTTCAAATCTCGATTACTTCACAACGAAGAGGATACCAAAATCATATGATACCGATCCAGAAAGCTCTCGACGACGAGACGGTTTCAACGCCGCCAAGTTCGGCACCGTCACCGCCGCTCCTGCACAACAGGCGAGCTTCGAAAACCGGTGTCGGGGGCGTGATATCCTACGTCACGTCACCGACGGTACCACACCTACCGTATACGACACAAAATAACACACCCCCTGAACCGATTTTCAAAGCTCGACTACGCCACGCCGAAGATGATGCATAGACGAAACGATACGTTCTCGACAAGCTCTCGACCAGACGGCTTCAACGCCGCCGTTTTCGGCGCTGCGACTCTTTCTGCTGTTGATAAATCTGGCTTTGAAAATCGGTCCAGGGGGTGTGTTATCTTGCGTCGTACACGGTATCAAAAACAACGAAGTCAACATACCTGTCCAAGGGTAGAGATCGTCGAGCTTGCCGCCCGACATGTCGTCACAGCTCTCGCTGTCCACCCACGCGAAGTCGTACGTATCTCGGTACCCCGGTGAGAGCTGCAGGATGTGCTGCGCCTTGTCGAAGCCTGCGTGTAGCGCCCAGAATATCGGGTCCAGAGGCGCGGCTCCGGTGCTCATCGCTCCCACCTCGCCGGGCTCGCATCCGATAACCATCAGCTGGCGCAGCAGGAGCATGATTGACTCGTCATCTAGTCGTTTCCCTTTCTGATAACGGCAACGAAACGGTGTCGGTAGAGTCGGTGGGCTTGATCACCATCAGTTCAGCATGGGTTGACTCGTCGTCTAGCAGCTGTTGTTCGTGGAAAGCTTGAACGGACTCTGCACAAAATACAAAGAGATTTCTTTCACTCGAACCAAGTTGCACATTTGTTGCAGGTGCAATAGAGAGACGTGCGCACCTGTGCGAAGCCGAGCGGATGTCTAGCGCTTCTGTCTTCGTCGATGAACTGATCTCCATGTGCTCTTAGTTGCAATGTTTCCATCGCATCTTCCATGAAGTCATATATCTGCAGACACAGGACAACAGACGGCGACAAAATAGTGAAAAAAAATACTCCAAGTAATGAAGAACCACAGAGAGAGGAGAGAGAAAAGAAGATACTCGGAGTACCACTACGCAGGCATCAACAACAGTGGCAAGATAGCGGTTGATCAATTGAGGGAGATAGACTACTCAATATTATCCCATGGGCCGCGGAACGAAGGCAAGCTGTCAACGAAGGTGATGATTCTCTTGTGGTGGGACTCACAGATGCAAGGTACAGAGGCGAATGAATCTAGGCCAATGAGTAAAAACGCCGGGCCAATGATGTAGAAACCCAACTCGACGCAATGAGAGACATGGAAAACAAACGGCTTTGAGGACAAGGAAGGACACGGTCATCATCGCCCAGCAATAAGGCCTATGCGTGCAAGAAAAAACACCGGCACAACCGACAGCAGCCAACAAAAAAAACAGCAACACGCAGGCCTTTCCCCCGTAGGCGACTGCCTCGTTTTTTTGTGGTCGAACTTGGTTATTACACTGAAAATAGAGAGTAATGAAATCTAAATCGCGAAAAAAATCGCCTACGGGGGAAAAGCCTGGAAACACGACGGCGAAACCGCCAACACAAAAAAAAAAACACCAACAACAACCGAATGAAAATGCACAAGCCTCCATGTCTCTGGTAGAACGGCCCGCGCGCGCTCGGCACAGATGGAGGACAGAGGGGACGAGGAGGCACAACGACCAACTCTCTCGACCGTGTTCTTTCAAAGCAACGTATCTTCGTATATCAAAGTGGGGTCGGCCGTTTCGCATGACGACGCGCCGAGCGACAACCTCAGCACCACCAACCGAAACTCACCGCGTCGTCGGTCCACTCGAAAGGGTCAGTAATGCAGGTGCACCCGCACGGGTGGGTCTGACCGACGGCGCAATCCTCGTCGCAGTAGTTGAAGTCCTCCATCAAGCTGTTAGACGGCCACTTGTTGGCCAACAGGAACTGCAGAGTGAAAGTCAACAGCTCTGGGCTGAACTGGGGGTTGGCCTCCTGAAACTCGGCCATGTTGACCTGTTTTCGCGCCATGAAGGGGGGG